CTGAAATTGAGCCAGCACAGAGGGTTGAGATTTTAGTCCATCATAATGTCTTACCAGAGTGTTTGCTATTTGATCAACACTATCCACCACCATCACCAGAACGTGAATATCCACATTCCTTTCTCTGCCCTCACCCAAAAAATCAATCCTCTTTTATAGAGAGAGAGCTTTCCTTGCATGGGAAAAGAGTCAGAGGCTCCCTGAAGTTCACTCTGAATTTTAGTATGGCCAGTCTCGTTATGGGAGAGTTACTCAAGCACTATGAAGAAACAGTTACTTACTGTAAGTGTGGTTCTTTGACATGTGATGCAGAGGTGTATTCCACTTGTGTTTAACAAACACCCAGCGCACTGGAACCTGACACTTGTGCCTAGACCTAATCACTGATCAGGTGCCAATCCAGCATGAACTCTTTAAGAGGTTTCTTATGTACAACCAGACAAAAGTACCGCCTTCCGTAGCAAGGGAAACGGTATGTACATGGTAGGAAAAGAATCATCCCTGGCTAGAGCTGTCTGACATGCACCGAGAAACCACCAAGAATAGCAGAATCACCGTCATCCCCTTCTACATGGGCATGATAGAAGCACAGAATTCCCATGTCTACTGGCCGTGTCACTGTAACCGCTTGAAGAACCTTGACAATGTGGTGGTACAATTGTGAGAACGGCATTGGAGGATATATAGCTTGTCTGGCACCCTGGAAACAGTCCGGGGTCGAGGAGTTGTGGGAAGATAGCTAGTCTTATCCAAAGAGCAGCCAGCATTTCAAAACAAGTCTCCCTGCAGGCATCCAGTGGTGACATGTGGGGTACTTTTTCATTTGAGAGGCTTTATAGCCCCCACTTTGATGTTCAAATCCCACCCTTCTTGTTGGAAAGCCACAAAAGATGAGAAGACTCCTCCCTGTGGCCTTCACTGGTAGAGCAGTCTTATCACAGAGCCCCAAAAGAAGAGTTATGCAGGGCAGACCTTTATGGAACTTTTAAAATATTTCTAAACCATTTTGTTTTAACCATTCCTAAAGGGGTGTTTCTAAACTTACACAGGCTCTTTCAGGCTGCTTATAAGCAGTGTTAGTTGATCGTTTTCTGCCCCTGGTGCCTGAGCGTGGGGGATTTAGAAACGTGCTGATGTAGTAGATGGGCTGACTCAGCAGGACAGGATCCTCCCCAAATGTGTCTGAATTCTCTTTAATAAACTGGTGCTTCTAGTTTAAAAAAAAATAGTGGTAGAGGGCCAGTGCTTGTTGATTATGGCTGTGGCCCCTCTATACCTGTGCCTGGAATCAGGCTCTGTGTGGCTGTAATCTCATAGCTTCATATAGTTTATTGTGGAAAAAAGATGGAGAACAAAAGAAAGAAAAAACAGACTTTAAAAGTAATAGGAATGGTCTAATTTAGCAGGGTAGAACCTTTTTTTGAGTCAGGGCCACTGACACACAGAAAAAACAGTTGGGAAGAAAAAAAAAACCCACTATCACCCACAACCTCACTTACATGGCCTCCCTTCACACACCAGCGCTTAAGGGAATGTAAAAATAATAAATGCAACAGTGTAATCTCCTCTTTGACTTGTGGGTGCTATGACTGAACTAAAGGAAAGTAAAGCTGCAATTTGCTGATTTACTTCATCTTCAAAATGTTTAGGTACTGGTGAGTGCATTAATGGTGTGCCCTAATTAGAAAAGCTTGCTGAATGTTCTATAAAAAGGTATAATTATGAACTGCCTTTATATAAATGTGTTGGCTTTATTTTTACAGAGAAAAAGGTTTGCAAAGTACTTTAAGATACACACTGAGGGACTTTACACCAGTCTGGTGTTCCTGCTCACATTTTTCTTCCAGTTAAAGTGAATCTTCATCCGAGATATCACAGCACTCTAGACTTCAGAAATATGGTCCACATGTCAAACAAACTTAAACAGGCTTTTCAGGCACAGTAGGCCAAAATTATGATTGGTTTAACTTCCCCAATTTCTTTGGAGTTACACAGAAGATGAATTCACCCCTTGATGTCTTTGTGTTATAGCTCTGCATGTTACTGCCACCTCGGGTCATGTTACTGCCAGCTAAAATGTCAGGATCTGTATTTTTGAAAAGGTTATCTTGCAGTTAAGGAGAAAATTGTACTACCCTTAGAGAAGTTATAAAACGAGTAGCATTACATTTTCAAACAAAGAAATTCCTCTCTAAACTATTCTGCAAAAATAATATTCCACTTCTTGTATCTGTGCAAAATTAAAAAAAACAAAACTCCCCTTTGCTTATATTAGCAGTTCTTTCACCAGCATCCAAGGAACTTAGCAGTGTCTTCACTGACTGTGGAGTTTGAGTCATGATTTAGGAAGGTTCTCTATGTGCCAATACGTAGTAGACTCTTTTTGGAAATACAAAAACAAGGGAGAACTATAGGGCCAGGAATGAATTAATCTTTGCATTCAAACCAACTAAATCCTATTCTTTTTCTTCCACAAATTACTTGAAAATTATTAATTCATTTATTAATTAATGGGTATTAAACTCCTCAATTATATCCTGTGCCATGTCACATGCATGAATCTAATTAGCCCTTCATGGTACAGTATTGCGTGGGAAAGGAAAAGTGAGTCTTGATTAATAATTGTACTATACTGTTCAGTGAGGCCAGGTACTATATATTTTAGATGCATAATTTAAAAACAAAAAGGGGGACTGGACTGCCCAGGTAGATTCTAGGCTCAGCCCAGCACACCACAAAAACAAAAACTAACTATGACTATTTTGTTTTATAAGTTGATGATCTTACTAAGGCCTAGTGCATCACAGAAACCAAAGAGAAAATATCAGTCTCTACTTCATTCCTGTAATATATCAGGTGTAATAAGAGATGAGGGCCTAAAACAAAAGCCCATGTAGCACAGGCCTGGTTTGAGGCCTGAAGCCTAAACAGACAAAACTTGGCTAATAGAAAGCAAAGCTAAGCTGTGAGCAAGAGGCAGGCCCCTGCTCACATAACTTGGCACAAACTCGGCTGAGTACACAAAACACTAATTGGTAATAAGCCCAGGTTTAGAACAGTAATTGGTACTGGTCATAAGTTGAAAGCACATTCCAAAAGGACAGTACCATCAACTCACTAAAAAAGACCTTGGTACCCACACTCCCCACAGATACCGACCCAGGCTCAGGGAAAGGTCTAAACTGACAGCATGATGGATGGAGATGTTCTAATCAACCACGAGGTGCCAGGTGATGGGTGGTATCTAAGTAGCATCAGAGGGTGGCATGATGTGTAACTTGTATCTGTGGGGGACAGTCTTTGTCCAGCCAAAGGGGCAGTGGGACCTCCCACTACTTGACCCATTGTTAGGGGTACATATGTGTAGTGGTTTGTAGGAGTCAACTGACAACTATTACTGTACTTCACTTACCAATAAATCTGGCCAAGCACCTCCGATCCTTATCTGATTTGCGGTGTTTGGGAGCTCTGAGTCTGTTGTGTTGACTAATTGCGCAAGTCAACACGGCACACCTCACTGAACACTCATGCACACAGCCTTCTGGTTCTCATCACTGAGATCAGGAGACCTATCAGGACACCATGCCAGTAACTCCTGACCTACTACATTGGTGACCTTCCTACATCAGGCAAGCTATACCATATCCACCATATCAACACCTGTCTTGACCTGAACTTTATTCATCCCCAGGTTTACCACTGTTCATATCAGTCTAATCTGTTTAGCCGGATCCAAACTTCAACAGCCATAGATTAACCATAACCCGCCTTCTCTCCTTGATGATCTATTACACTAATACATTACTAGAGCCACAGCTAGCTTTTTGATATATAAATGCAATATGTCATGAGAACATTAGTTCACCCCAATGACCTACAGTATAATTGCAACATACACTCAGAGTAAAGCACTTTGGTGATGTATAACTGTAACAAGAGATTTAATTAACACAATGGGCTAAAACTGAACACAGCACTAACATGCTGATGCCAGGCTAAGAGTACACTGGCCAAAATTTGCTGTGTCAGTTGTCTTTATAGCTGCTGCCCTTTCATACCATTGGTGACTGCATTTTAATAATGCTGAATATTAGGTTTGCAAAAGGATAACTAATACATACTTGGGCCTGATATTCAAAGATGTTAAGCACTTGTAGCTCCCCTTGACTTTGGTGAGAATTGTCGGTGTTCATAATCCCAGGCTTTAGCTACAGAATTTCAGACAAGATAAACTTCTTCCTGTGGAAAAGATTCTTACTGAGACGTCAAACAAACAAAGATTTAATTAGCTTCCCAGATGCACACAGAGGAAAAGTTTTGCAATGTGATTCTAAGGCTGTAATAAAGCAACGAATTTTGACTCAAAATATAAAAAGCTCAGGTATTGTTACATTAAAATCAGATCTGATTTCATCATACATTAAGGCTATGTCTACACTATGGGGTTTTACTGCGATACCTGAAGTATCCTGTAACAACTCCACTGCATCCAGGGAACACTTTTTTTGCGGAAGAGCAGACACTTTCAGAAGTCCCTGTTTTCCTCCTTCCACGAGGAAGGGGGGGCTCTTCCAAAAGAGGAGGTTCATTCGAAATTTGGCACAGCGTACACGGGCCAAATTTCAGGAAAGCCCCTTTTAAAAAAAAACTATCAGAAAAAGGTACGCAAATTGCTGAGCACAATTTGCATACCTTTTTCCGATAGGCTATGTCTAGAGTACGATGATCTAACTTACAGTCATACTTCTAACGGCCTCCCCAACCTGCATCTATGTGACAATACTGTGTGTTAACAGAAACAAAACTAAAGAAACTTGTTTCAATATCAACGAGCCCAACCGCTGCCTCCCGCTCCCTCCAACACGCTGCACATTTGTTTAGCTTACTGGGGAATATTTATCAGACTTTTGTAACATGCTGTGCTATGCTGGCAGCAGGTATACCAAAGGCAGGTCTCAACCCAATCATAAAAATGGAAACTAATACGTTTACAAACAAAGCGTCTTAAATTTGGAAATTTTAATCTCAGTTTAACAATCTGATTCTATACTTTACAATAGTTTACAGTTATATACACAGTACATGATTCTGAACAGCAAGTTATTTTCTTTAAAAAAAACGGTCCAATACAAAATAACATTTTTTAAAAAGGTGTAATATGTTTGATTCTATTTTTAATTATTTTTACGTCACACAAAGGTTTCCTGACAGTATATTATATCAAGCTATGAATAAACTTACATTCCTTCTCAATGAAAATGGAAAGTCAATTATTGATATTAAGTCAATATCATATTTTGTGTTATACGACAAATGCTACTAACAGTAAAAATATTGTTGTTTAAAAACACAGACAAAACATAACTGCACAGCAAAACAATTCTGAAAAAGTTAAGTATATGAAATTTCAGGACAGCATTGCCAACTGAAGCAAAACTTTTATTTCCCCAATAGCAAAAGACCAGAGAAACATAGACCAGAGAAACAATTTATATAGTCATTGTCAAAATCATGAAATTACTGTTCACAAAAGATTTGGACAATATTTAAAGTGAAAAACAAATGTCTAGTTGACAAAACAGGTGATCAATTTTCTATTGACTGTAGTTACAGCCAATTTTTCAGGTCATGTAGTGTTCTGGTGCTGTTGTATACAGTACAAATCACATTTTGCATATCTTTTTGCAAGATGATTTCACAAATAACTGCAACAGGAGGAGTGTATGTTTTTTTTCCATTTTATTGGAATAAATAGTCTTTGGCATATTGATATTTCCTTGATTATATCCTACAATTCCCTAAATATAAAAACCTCATTGTATAATAATCCTTAGCATCCAATTAGTAAAGTCACAGGATAGAAATATTTTATATTCTGTTACTGTCTCCTTTTGTTCCATTATATCACTTCAATGAGGATCATTTCTGGTGTACTCAAACTTCACTGTTTGCTGTGGTAAATCCATTCCTCACTTAAGTCAACTGGAATTTTCCCATTGACTTTAATGGGGCTGGGATTTTATCCATTCTATCCACAGTTGGGTGGCACATTTCTGTTCCATCACACTATCACCAAATAAAGCACTGACTAACAAGAGCAAATGAAGTGCTGAGAAAGGAACAAAAATGGCATTGATATGGTGACTGAATTTATTAATCAAGCAAAATAACTTGGTATCTTTGAGGGGAAATTTTACACTTGAAAAGAAAAAACTATGAAGAAACATGCTATCACGGAATAATTGAAAGGTCTGATATTAGGTACTAAATGTCATTCATCCTAGGACTGCTGAGCAAATCAGGTGCTCTGTTTAGAACATGTTGTATTATGATCTCTCAGTTCCCAGTGTTCAACACTTCTCAAATGCACCATTATCCTTGATTTTCACAGCAATCATTAGCTTTTCCTGTAAGTACTGTAACTTTTAAAAACAACAGCGCACCCAAAAGAGGAGAGGGGAAAAGCTGCTTATAGATTTGATACATTATGGTCTTGATTTTGGTCCACGTGTTTGCTTCTACTACTCTGGCTATCCTATAGGAACACACAAAAATGAAATAGTCTCAAAGGTATCCGTTTTTATCCTTTCAGAAAAATCACAACGGAGTTTCTCTCACAAAGCAAAGTAAACACTATAGTGAGCGTTCTGTAAACTAGTTACCAAGATATTCTTATAAATCTAGCAGCAGCAGTAATAGTAGTAGTAGATGGCTGTGTACTCACTCGGTTTGGTAAGCTAATTCAAGTCAAGGTAAATAGGATTTTCCCAGAGTCCTATTATTCTGCCCTGAACCTGTGCAGGAGCTTAGAGGTTCTTTGAAAAGTGTCTTGCATACTTCCCTCTCCTTTGTGAACCTGCAAAGAGCTAGTCTCATACTAAAATTTTCATGTCAAGTCAAACATATTAAGAATAGGCTGCATTGTCAACATAATTCTCAAGTGACTCACACGACGACTTATTTGTATATTTGAAAGTGGTGTGTGTAACTTGCTATGCACAGTACTAAAGATTTAAAACTTCAAAGAAACGTGATTTTTTTGCTATAATTTTCAACATCGATATAGTCCATCTGCATTAATGTTATTTCAGCTCTACAACCTTCCCTGACTAACATTTTCCAAGGGATTATAAACCTATACAAAATTATCCCCTCAAATGTGTTTTTCACACAATTTTTGTAGCCTCTCAAATCTGTCCTAAGTAAACAAACACCAACAACTTCTGAGAAATATTAAGATTTTCAAACCAAAAATTTAAAAAAGCCAGAAAATATAACAGTAAGGATGAACTGCACTCTTAATAAATCATCATGCATTAAAGTGAGGCTACATTGTGAATGGAGGATAGACTGCCCATTTTTAATATTGAATTTCTTAACTTCTCTCAACCTTTTTTTTTTTATGTATATATTTTTCTCTTGGACTAGATTTTAACTCATTGCCTGGTTACTACTTGTCTGTTGCTCTATAATTTACTACAGTTAGATATAGGTTTCAATAAAAATACTTACCTTTGTAATTTTCTTAAATATAAAAGTCTAATGTAATGCATTGGAAGAAATGTAAATCGAGAAAGCAACTCAGCATACTATATCATTTTGTACCTCCAAGCCCTCCAGTTTCATACAATACAGTCTATACTCATGATAAAATATATCAATATATTATTTTTCCTTCCAAAACTAAAGTCTGATTTGCTCTCCATATCTCTTGTTCGTTTAAAAAAAATATATAACCTATATAATATTTACTTTTTCCAACATGCAGGAGTCTAAAATATTTCATGCCTTAATTTTATACCCACTGTATCCCACTGGGTGAAAGATCCCCTGAATCTGTAGCTGAAGTCTGAAGTCTATATTCACGTTTTGGAATTCCTTTTGGTTTCGAAGTAGATTCACCAAGTTCAAGTTGTTTCTCTTCAGTCTTGTTATTTTGCATACAAATGGCCTGAGATGCCAATGAATTATGTCCTTGTTGAAGTTCAAAACTTATGATGAGTGACTTCGCTTGAGAATCTAATTCAGAAGTGACCATAAATGACTTGGCTGTTGTGTGGGTAGGTCTGTTTGGTGAAGCAGAAGACAAGCTAAGTAAATTACTGTAATTATTAAAATGTCCAACTAAGATGCAAATCTTTTCTGTATAGCTTCGAAGCGGATTTGTGTTTCTGTATGATCCTGTGGAGTACAAAAGCAAAAAACTAAGCAGCATGTTACCTCCACGCACATCTTTTTCTTTCATTTATGTTAAAAATAATTATGTATTTTGAAAGCATGTTAGTAAACAATGAAGGTGACAATGGTTCGTTGTCTATGTAGAATCTCATGATACCATCTACATGTTTTGTCAATCTTTAAATGCTATCTGACCATCTGTTGTTTGCTAATTAATGGTTCTTATCTGCCTCTTGACTATCGAGCCTTTAGGTACTTAGAAACTATTTGTTTCTCCTATTCATTCCAGCTCTGCTTTCCCCTTGATATTTTTTACCCACTGCCTCTTCTTGTTACCCCTCCCTCCCATTTTTTCCTTCTTCCACCCCCCACCCCTCTTCTCCCCTATTTATTTTGGTCCTGGACATCCAACTCTCTGGTCAACTGAACAAGTGGGCTGTGCCCACAAAAGCTCATGATACCATCCACATGTTTTGTTAATCTTTGAAGTACTATCAGACTATTTGTTGTTTTTTTAAGTTTATCCTGTACAGACTAACTCGGCTACCCCTCTGAAGCTTCAGTAAATCTACTGTGAGACTATTATCTTAGCATTAGAAGTTGGTGGGGGACAGGGAGAAATATCAAGACTTTGCCTATAGTCCCAGACTGATCAATCACAAGGTACACCTACAATCCTAAAGAAGCTAGCTAGAGTTTTCTTTAACATGATCAGCAGTGAAATGGTTGAAGTGAACACTTAGGTTTTTTAATTAGGTTTCAGAATCAACAGTGAATTGGTATCAACAGTGAATCAACAGAATAAAGACATTGTTTTAGTCCAGTGTTTCTCAACCTTTTTTTAATATCGTACCCATTATTTTTTTTTAATTATAAGTATCCCCAGTACCTACAGTTTTCAGAGATACACATTTTTTTCTACCATTGCAACACATTTGTTAAACAATCTAATTGTAGCCGGGCAGGCAATGAAATTTTTCGGTGTAAAAAGTACACAAGTAATAGTGCTGCAAAACTTAAGACAAAAATACAGTTTTCTCCATATTTCAGTTGTGTTGACGTGCCCCCCAGACTGTTTTAGTCTGTAGACCCAGTAAGCAGCATTCTTTTGGTCCACTATTTGTAAAGTTTTTTCCTCAGCCATGTGTATTAACAAAACCTAATTTTTCCATAGGAATCTTTAAATTCTTGAAGAGACAACAAAAAATTGCTGATATAGCCTCCCGGATCAATTTAGAGTAACATGCGAATAATAGTTTTAATTTTCTTATTTGTGCCTGATTCCTGTATCTTACCCAACACATAATTAAACATAAGGAAACCTAGATGCAAAGAAAAATTACCTTATGATACTCTGGTCATATGAAACAAGAACTTGAAAACATAATAATTAACTATGTCAGTGATTGTAACTGGCTTAATATTTGTACATTCTCTTTCTTAATGTTGGAACAAATACTTTGAATTCTCTTAAAGGTGACTTGCTTCTTTATGCCTGAAAGGGTTTTTCCACCAAAATATTTCTCCTGCTTATCATCATCTTAGAAATTTGGATCTTGTTTATCTTTATCTATCAGTCACTGGAGAGCTAGTAATTTGATATTCTTACTATTAAAAGAAAAAACATCTTCATGGAGGGATATTAATCAGATGATGTTATTGTTGAAATAAATTTAATTTGAATGCTGAACAAATGGTGGGATCAGGAGGGGAGCTTGGCTGGGTCTGCTGATGGACCCAGAGAGTTCGGAGTCCATCAGCAGAGGGACCAGAATTGACCCTCCTCCCTCCCCCCCCGTCTAGCAAACTCCCTCTTTCAGAACAGGTCACGTCCCGAGGGTACCAGACCAAGGAGGTCCAACCTGTACTGGTAAATAGACCACCTGGTTCAAATAAAACTGAGAAGCCACTTTAGACAAACATTTCAGTTGTGGCTATAAAGTCACTTTGTCTTTGAACAATTGTGCAGAACCAGGCCCTGCCCACATAGCATGCAACTCTCACACTCTCCATGCAGATGTTATTGCTACCAGGAATGCTGTTTTCTAACACAACAGCAAAAAGGAACCAGATGCCACGGGACTGGATGGTGCCCCCCATTAATGCTGCAAGGATTGATTTAAGATTATAGAGAGGAACTGGCTCATGGACTGGATGGATGTAGACTAAGGAACCCCTTTTAAGAATTTTGATACCATGTCATTGGAGAAGACAAATCTTCTCTGAATGTTGGGAATGGCAATACAATTCCAGTACAGGAGATCCTCACAATTTGTGGTTCCCCGTATTCGCTGGTGTCTCCTGGAATGGTGTAAGGAGATGGCTGAGGCTCCCAAACCCCTGTAGTGAGTTTCCCGTGGCTGTCAGGAGTGCCGATGGTTTCAGGAGCTGCAGAAAACTCGTGCCAGGGGCCAGGAGCCATGGCCCCCAATATTCGTGGATTTTGCTATTCACAGTGGTGCCAGGAATGCATCCGCCATGAATGGCAAGGGTTTCCTATAATCACTACCAGGTGCACTCTCAATGAACTCAATACTAACCCGACTACTGAAGGTGTAGAAAGTACATCAAAATGTCCTGGATAGAATCCAATCAATGCTCGTCTCCTCAGACTAGTGACCACAGTGAAATAGAAGTGATCTTCAGTGAATAGGCCATCTTGGTAGGGTGACTTTTTTAACAGCCAATAAACACTGCTCTTCCTTCTCATTCAGCTGCGTTATGTGACGCATGGAGCTGCATGACTTGCTTCTTTATGCTTGTAAGTGTTTTCCCACTAAAATCTCTCTCTCCTGCTTATCACCACCTCAGAAATTTGGGTCTTGTTTATCTTTATCAGTCACTGGAGAGCTAATAAGTTTATGATATTCTTGCTATTAAAAGAAAAAAATTCTTCATGGAAGGATATTAATCAGATTATGTTATTGTTGAATTAAATTTAACTTGAATGCTGAACAAACGGTACGTTTGAGTACTGTTCAAATGGACAGGAAACAATATGTCTGACTAGACAATGCAAGATGATCATTGCCCATAATGAAGCGAGAAGTGATACCATCAATACAAAGCATGCCAGTCTTGTACGCGAACAGCAATGCTGAAGCATCTGACAATATTGATGTTGAGGGTGGTGAAAGGCCACAGAAACTTGTGATTATGAATGTAGCGGTACCAAGGAGATTCCTTTCCCATACTAGCCTTGCTTACATAATCTGTGAAAGGGGAACACTGTGGTGCAGTCCAAACAGACCAGTGGGGTTAGTTGCTCATTCAATCAATCAATGGAGCTATAATGACAGTGTCCGGCAAAGTCTTGGACCAAAGGACAAATCAAAACCAAAAGGTGAAGAAAGTCTGTAATTGCCTGATATGCTGCTGATACGGAAATAGTCAGTACTGTCATCTCCATCTCTGATACTGTAGACAATAGATAGTGGGAACTGAAGTCATAGAAAGACTAGAGGTATTTGCACCATGGCAGTCCACAATTTTTATGGGGAAGGCAGAAGAGTCACCTGGATTTCAGGAGAAGTTTCAATTGATCTTATGCAACCTTTTCCTCAGTGCAGTCAACAGCTCTTGTGTTTCTTTGAATAAGAATGAATTCTCTGGACTGTGAAACAGAACCACACTTGGAACCCGAGGGTGATCACCAACCCAACAGTACTAAAGCATCAGGAGCCATGTCCAAGCAGCTGCTGCTTCAGGTGAAGGTCCCAACCAAGGGTACATCTAGGCTGCGAAGCAGCATGCCCCACAGCTGCTTAAACAGCCCCACACCTAGCCAGGGGCTCAGGGCTCCATGCATACAGCTGCCTGGGTGCAGGTGAGGCACTTCTCCCTCAGCGACAGCAGCAGCTCCCTGCTGAGGATAGAACAGTGAGTCTCTCCCAGATGGTAGGGACAGACTAACCCCATTTTTTTAAATGATCTGTAGGACATGCAACATTGATGTGTGCCTGAAGGCAGAGGAAAACACTTCATGGGCATCACCCCACACAAAGAACAATGCTTAAACTCAAGTGAGGGCAATACCAAGGGAAACAAAGTATTACAGGTAAAACTAAGTGTCCTAACTACATAAAGGGAAAGATACAAAACTATATGAGAGGCTGTGAAGCTAAGATCCCAGAATTGTGACTCCTGGCACAAGCTGCAAGAAAAAACTGTGGGATGGTTGGGGAATCACTGCTTCAGGTAGCCAAAGGAGGGACTATGGCCATGAGGTGCAAGTAACAACTCTCTGTGGCTACTGGTAGGCAAATATCTCCAGCTCTGGTGCACTGGGAATGTACATACCTAAGTGGAATATGTGTCTGCGTCTACTTGAAAAAAAACTAATAAAAATAACCAAGCAAATTAAAAAAAAACAACCACTGTTTATGATCTCCAACATCCACCAAATAAAGAATCAAAAAAAGAGCACAACATCTCACTTTGCAGGTCTTCTTTAGTGTTTAATTTACTGATACAACAGCAGCTCAGTTACATACCTTGTAATGAAGTAGTAATGATCTGAGAGACTTTATCTATGCACTGTTCTAATTCCAAGTATTCAGAAGCAAGATTAGTTGCCTTCTTTATTTCCTGGTGGACAGATTCCTCTTTTATTAATTGAGATCCCAATTCTTTCTGTATTAATAAACAGCAGTTTATTTGAAAGCTATAATATATATCAGTAATGATTACTGTTTAGAATTTTAATGATAAATGTGGTCATGGGTTCAATTCTCACACCAGTGTTCACAGTTTTGTATTTCATTGTTGCTAAGTATTCTGGGGATGTTGTGTGGTTGGAGAGATTATGTTTCAAAATACAGTTTTAGCAAGAATTGCAGTTCCTGCCAGCCTTAAAGTTACCAGCTGGAACTATAAGATCCTGGAACATTTTTTGACATTCAAGGGATAGATAATTTACATATCTTGGTCAATATTACATTCTTGACTCAAAATAAATCAAGGTGCTAACAGTCAAGACCATAAGCTATTGCACATTGTGAGTATAACTCCTAGTATCTAACACATTTTTATTTATTTCAAAGTGTTGTAATTGATTTACATATAATTTAATTCATCAATTCCAGATGAACTCAATACAAACCAAAACCATCTTACTTTGTATTGGCAGTGTTTTATTTTGGTTGCCTGCCACTAAACCACATGCATTTCTGCTGTATAATTTCAAAGGTGAGATGACCAGAACTGGACATACTGTGCCAGGTAAGCATGAAACAGATTAGACAATGTTATCACACCATTATCAATGTATCTTTAGAAAAAAAAATTTTTTTTTTTAATTGCAGCTACACAACTAGCAGATTAATTTACAGGACTGTCCAGAGAGACAGTGTGTGGGGGAAGGTAATTTTCAAAGGCACAGGTACCTTTGAAGGTCTCCTCAAGTGTTTTCCTTAAGTCAGTATAGTCTATTTAGAACTCAAAATGTCTATGAGCAATTCAAATTATTTTTTCCAATGTATATTATCTTTCATTTGTCAGCACTGAATTTCAATCCACCACACAATAACCAAACATCTAAACTTTAAGTCCCTCTGGAGATCCTCACTCGTTTCTAGTAAGAAATAACTTCAAAAATTCCACCCACAAATTCTGCTACCTCTACATCATCCATTTTATCAGATTAACAACAGGCAACCCCAAAACCTTAGTCGCCTAACCTAGTTTTGCCATTTTGAGAAGTAGCAATTTATTCCTAAGTGTTTGTTACTGAAGCAGCTTCTAACCCATAATAATACTTAATTTCTGACCTCACGACCACATAGTTTTCTTACTAGCCTCTCACTAGAGACTTTGTAAGAAAAAATTTATAAAGACCAAATAAATTACATCTTGTTTTTCCACCATTTTGTTGGCACACACAAAAGAATTCAAGTATTATGGAGGTTTGATTTAAAATTTGTAAAACAGAAGAATGAACCAAATTTCATTATAATAAATGCAAAAATAATATTTATACAGCCATGAAATAGTTAAGATAATTAAGTAAAAAAATGCAAAATGTAAAGTTCGTACAGCAAGATTAGCTTGTCCATAAATGCATACAGGTAGTAATTTTTATTATTCTCTCTCATTACACTTTAAAAAAAAAAATTTAAAGTTAACATTTAAACAATGTAATTTTGTGAATGGGTTTCTTTACCTTTTTGCAGTCCAATACTGTATTTTCAAGGGATCTGGCAAAAGCCATAGCATTATTCTTGATTTGATTTTGGACCTATCAAAGGACATTTTAATTATTATTTTGATGCATTTTTTCCCTATACTTTGAATGCAAAATGTGTAAAAGCATATCTCAGAGACAAGAAAATTAGCACATATAATCACAAAGGGAAGTGTTCAAAAGAGAATTACAGCACAAGCAATAACTGAATGATGAATTTTCTACCATAATTTGCAATAATGAAAACATATCAATAGGTCTACATTAGACTTTATTCTAGGAGCAAGTCAACAGAGTACTCTTTAAAGTTTTTCTAAGCAAAGTGACCACTTGGATTGAATCACCATCATCATAATTCTCAGTGTTAGCATTAAGCCCCTTGTCTTCTCTCCGATGCTTGTTAGCTTCACTGAAGGGCAGCATATATTAGAACCTTATGGTTCCATACTTCTCTGCTACAAGAAGTGAGCTGATGAATGCCCACCTTTGACAAAAAAATAAAAATACAAATTTTACTGGTTGGGAATAGGGAGAGTTTAAATTCCCTGGAAACAGAGCCAGTTGTGGGAGGCTCAACATTGGGTTGTAGAGAAGGAGAGGTAGGCAGAGTAAATGCTTCTGACTGGAATCAAGGCTGGTTGAGAAAAAAAAACACTGGCACAACTGCACCAATCTTCCTGTTGTGCACTCCTCCTGGCCCCCTCCCCTACTCTTGCACCCTCTCCCCCCAGGCCAAACACCCTGGCTGCAACCCATTCCCACACCCTTCTCCCAGCCAGACACAGACACCTACCCTCAAACGGGGAGGGAGGGGTCAGCAAATGTAGCAAACAACCAGGGGGCACAGAGCTATAGTGTAGCAGATAGCACTAAAAACAAACAGCCTCAAGCCACAAACACACACACACCTCATTTTGTGGATACTGTTTCAAAAGTTCTTTCTGCATCTCTCTTATTTTTTTCTGTACAGAATCCAAGAGCCTCTTCAGTCCTGAGCCTACTCCATCATAAATGGCAAGTATAAAATCTTTCTAAAATATTCAAAATTCCAAGAGTTATTTAAAAACTGACCTTTGCATCAATGAATTTGTAACACTTGGTTATATTAAGCAAATGGATCAACACAGACAGACCAACATTTATGCCCAAATTAGAACTAATATAGTCAACAGGGTTCTGATAATTCTTTCCCCTTTAAAAAAAAAAATCTATCTTCAACTTTTATTTGGGTTTCTGAGAATTCTTTTTTTGATACAGACTTTTACAATGAGAATATTAGTCAAAAAAACCTCACAAAAAATTATTTATTCATTTCAAGCTTTCAACATAGGTTGTCAATATAGAGGTAAAAAAAAAAGTTAAGTTTAGCTCTATTGACCTGTTTTAACCTTTGAATGGTAAAACAATTTTTAATACCTTGGACCCACTGTAAACACACAAAAACTGCTTTGTCACAGCTGAAGCCTATCTACCCACACATTTTGTACTGGCACATCTATTTCGGTTAGAGGTAAGAATTTTGCCACAATAGTTACTGTTATATATCACTATAAAAGATATTTATTCCTGTTCCCATACAGGAATAGATTATACAAAAATAATTATAAGTATACTTCTCGCAGTATAATTTCAGACACACTAGAGAAGTTAAGTATCAGAGGGGTAGCCGTGTTAGTCTGAATCTAGAGAGGTTGTTCTACTTTAGCTGTATCAGTACAGTTAAATGACTACAGGGTTATAAAAAGGGTCTAAGTCCTTGACTTGAGAAACACTCTACATTCAAAAGATGCTATATAAAGCCAAATTTTATGCTACAGATCAGGGCTACTCAACATGTGGCCCATGGACTGCATGCAGCCCACGGCCCGTTTGTTTGCGGCCTGCAGTGCGGTTTGGGTTTACACAGGGTTCAACATGCGGCCTGTGGGTGGGATCCTCTGAACATGGCCTCCACTGGGAACATGCTCCACAATGGTGAGGTGTCTCCCAGGCAGAGCCGGATGGAATGGGCGAGCTGGGTGCCAACCGATGGGGGGCGCCTGATGGCAGCTGTAAGAGGCGCGCAGTGTCCCTTACAGCTGCCATCAGGCGCCGTGCGCCCAGCTCCCGCAGCGCTGGCCCGCCCGCATCCCTGCGGCGCCGACCAGCAACACCCTTCCCCCCATGGCTGCGGGGCCCTACACGGCCCGTCTGGGCTGGAATGGGCCGCACTTGCACTATGCGCCCCGGGGGCATAGCCTACGTCAGCAGCCGTAGCTGGGGCGAGCATGCGCCGTGCGCCCCGGGGAGGGCCTGCGCACCCATGGGGGGCAAGCCCGCTCCCCACAGGCGGGCCCACGCATGCGCCTGGGGACGGTGCCGCACACCCGTGCCCGGGGCACCAGAATGCCTCGGGGCGGCCCTGCTTTGAAAGATGCAAACAACAGGCTGGCTGGAAAAGACAGGTACAGGGTGTCGGCATTTCTAGGCCCCAGGGAGGTGGTACCAGGAGCACAAGGGCATTGTGGGAAGTGCTTTGTATTCATGTCCGTCAGTGTGAAAGAAGCTATTTGCATATATATGCAACCGCACTTAAGTTGCAGCCCTCAGCCTGTGCTGTATCATTGTGGCCCCTGGGGCTTCCAAAGTTGAGTAGCCATGCTGTAGATAATACATTGAAGTGATAAAGAGGAGTATTTAATACATTAACACAGTGTAAGAGAAAATTTGTGTAGAAGATTATACTGTGAAGAGTATACTTTCTATAGTATTCAGAAGACACCTTTATTTTGACCTAATGTAGTCATAGTACAAAAGAAATTCTGATATAAACTACAGAAGTTGTTGTATTCAACTAAGTATTGTATTTACCTGTGAGACAGTTGCATCTTCTTTGTTCTCTTCAGAGAGATGTAGGTCAGATCCTGTAAGTGCTGTCAAGTGTCCTATATGTTTTCCTGTTTGTTTCACTATTTGGATTATTTTGTTGTGTGCTTCTGTTACCATTGAGGATATATCTGAAAAACAGCCCTGAGAAATGAAAATTATGATTTAATAATTGATATGATGTAATTTAATATGATTTAGAAAACTTCCACAATGAAAGTGTAAATGTTTTCAATTGCACATGCAAGTGTTTAAATTATCTTGAAGCTTTACCAACATCATATTCTTGTATTACTGTAAGTGGCTGAGTCATTATTTCAACCGAACACAGAGCAAACGTTGTGACCACTACTACAATTACAGTGCAGGATTAAAAACTATGACTGCAAACACGTTAGAATAGCAAGATGGAATAACAAATGAGTTGAAAACACCCATAGTGTCTATAGAATGACTTTGACAAGCCTATCAAATTAAAAATATCTGAACAGACAATTATTTAAAAAGAAAGTAATAACTGAATATAGTTGTATAAAGTAGGGTATTCCTATACATCCATAAAGAATTCATGGAGAGGATTAATTAAAACTGACATTAAGGGTTCATTTCAAACCTATTTGACTGGCCCATGATGAGGCTGGCTCAGTAGGCTGTGACCTTTGCCTCCAGTAAAGGGCAAGAGACGATGTGGAGGGCCACAGCAAGCCTGAGGCAAACACTATCCGCCTATAAGTACAGGACCCGAGGTGAGGACGGAGCTCTGCCACGTTACCTGCAACAGTAACTGGAGGTAACTTCCCAAGTTTTTTATATTCTGTCTCAATTCTTCATCAATTTTTATGGAATCAGTGCATTTTTGTAAACTATTAAGCCAATGCTTGGTTAGAATCACAAGTTGTTCAAAAGCAGAGGTAATTCTGATGCTGCAGGACTGAGTAGCACGATCAAGAGAGAAAACTACAAAAAAAGAGGGGGAAGATTAATCAGAATCACAGGTCTGCAAACAACAGCAGGAACATTTATACTTCCTATATGTAAGATATGACAGATTAAACAGAGTGCAGGATATTATGCTTACAATTCTCTTGACTTTCTTCATCTTGTTGTTCATAGGCATTTGAAATGGTAGTTACTCCACTATAAATAGTAAATAAATTGGCCAGAAGACTATTTGCTATAAACATTTCTTCTTCATGATTCTGTCCTAGTAAATCCAATGCAGAGCCAATCAATTCTTTGCAAATTCCAGGTAGAAATGATTCAGAAGAACTGGAACATATGCTGTTAGATTTATTGACTGGACCTGTATTAATAGAAAAGCAACATGAATTAAAATGTCTCTTATAAAAGTAGTGGGTCTGTTAGACAAATGTAACCTTCTATAATAATTTCATGTTGGTTTGCTTCTGCCTCTATTATCCAACCTGAAGGATGAAAATAATTAGGAAAAAAATTGATATACTTCTGTTTAGAAAATTTAATACACAGGTTGAACCTCCCAAATCCAGGAGACTCTGGTCTGGCAATATCTGAGATCTGGCAGGGCCACGGATCTTACTGGATCAACAAGTCCTGGAGCTAGCTGAGAACGTAGAGGCTGGTGAGCCCCAGCTCGGCCAGGCAGCACCTGGGGAGTGCCCAATTTGGCCAGGGACATCACCCACCCCCCTCTTCAGCGGGGCCAGACAGCGACTGTGGAGCTTGCGCTCTGGCCAGGGAACCCCTGGCGTCAGTAGGGCCAGGTAGCCAAGGAGTTCCAGGCCAACCCAGGGGTTTGTTGCTGGCAACCCCAGTGCCAGTGGGGCCAGAGTTACCAGGCAGCTTCTACCGGGGAACCCCCCAGCTGAAGTGGGGCTGGTGGCCCCAGCCAGGAAACCCCCAGAATTCCCAGTGGCAGTGGGGCAGCCCTAGCAGCACCGGGGGGGGGCGGGGTGTAACTGGGTGGCCGCAGCTGGGGAACCCCAGCAGCAGCGGGGCCAGCAACAGCCAACTGGCCCTAGTCAGGGAACAGCCCGCAGCAGCAAGGCCGGCAGTGGCCAAACGGTCCCTGCCAGGAAGCCCAAAGATAGCAGGGTGGAGAGCCATGCTGGGCCAGCATTAGTGGGGTCAGCAGCAGAGCAGGGAGCACCAAGGAGAGAAGCCCAGAGCAGGACAGGCATCAGGAGAGCACTGACCTGCCCTGGTCCAGCAAACTCCCTGGTCCGGGACAGCTCAGGCCCCTAGGAGCTGGACCAGGGAGGTCCAACCTGTACATAAAAATTTCTATTAGCTAAATGAAAAAAGTATGCCAAGAAAATAAACATTTTTGAAAGGAAATTTACAGTAATAATATGTACTGTCACAAAACTATTTATTTCCAATTGCACTTATCAGTAGCTATGATCAAATAAAAGCATAGCTGATCTAAAATGAGGGAATACATACAAGTATACATATTTGGGAGATTCAAATAACTTTATATATGAAAAACATATGTTTTACATTTTTAATTTCCAAAATTGTAGCACCTAAACAACAAACCAGACAATGTCAGAAGTTGACTAAGTAGCAACATCTCAAGCAAAGAAACACTTAATGGCTTTATTGGAATCAACAGTCTGATACAGCCAACATTAGGTGCTTGGTGACAGCTTTTTGGTGGTGCTGGGGGTCTCTCAGGAACCGAGGAAGACATGTTGTGCATTTCATTTGTGGAAACGCACGTGGCTCCAGAGCCAAAAGGTCGAAACACACATGCGGTTACAGATAGGGCATGGGGCGCCGGTTGTCAAGACAGAAGAGAATGCAGCTCTATGTCATCTTTCACGTGCAGCTACAAGGTGTTGGCAGCGGTCATCCTCAAACTTTGTCACTGCTTTCCTCATAAGGGAACACCAGTTAGTCCTTTCTGAAGCAGCTAGTTCAAATTGTGGAGGTTGAAGGTCTGTCCTCTGCAAGTTGGTCTTCAGGCTGTCCTTATTCCTCTTCCTCGGGCATCCCTGTTTGCAACTACCACGTACCAGCTCCCCGTAGAACAGCAGCCTCAGGATCCTGCTTTCGTCCATGCAGAGAACATGGCCAGACCATCGAAGCTGAGTTTGGAGGACCTTGACTTCAATGCTTGTAGAACTAGTTCTATCAAGCACTTCTTGGTTAGTAATTCGGTCCTGCCAACGTACTTGCATGATTGATCGTAGGAAGTGCATGTGAAACTGCTCCATCCACTTGATGTGCTTACAGTACAGGGTCCATGTTTCACAGCCATGCAAGAGAGAGGTGAGGACCATGGCATTATATACCTTGAGTTTAGTTGAAAGGCGAATATCTCTGTGCTGAAAAACTTTAATACGCGCTCTCCCAAGTGCCTGACTGGCTTTCTGGATCCTTGTTGTAATCTCTTTGTCAAGGGATCCATCACTTGATATTGTGCTGCCCGGGTACTTAAAGCTATCTACTAACTTCAGTTGTGAGCCGTCAATAGTGATGCATGGCTGTGGAGGAACACTGTTTGGTACAGGCTGGAAGAGGACTTCTGTCTTTCCGAGGCTAATTGTGAGACCGAACAGTTTGGATGCTTCAGAGAACCTGTCAATCATGGTCTGCAGGTGGTTCTCTTGGTGTGCCATAAGGGCGCAGTCATCAGCAAACAGTGCTTCAGTGATAAGTGTCTTGGTATTTGCAGTAAGACGTCGCAAATCAAACAGTGAACCATCCAAACGGTATCTGATGTAAATACCAAGATCTGTGTCTCTGACAGCATGCATGAGGACTTGAGTGAAGAACAAGTTAAAAAGCACCAGGGTGAATACGCAGCCCTGCTTCACGCCATTGGAGATGTTAAATTTCTCAGATGGCACACCATCCGAGAGCACCTCTCCTATCATGTCATCATGAAACAGCTTGATGAGTGAGATAACTTCGGTGGGCAACCCAGCTTCCTGAGGATGATCCACAATGCATCTCTGTTAACCGTGTCGAAAGCCTTTGTCAGATCAATGAAGACAGATTAGAGGTTCATCTTCTGCTCAAGGCACTTCTCTTGCACCTGTCTCATTACGAAGATCATATCGACAGTACTGCGATTAGGGCGGAAGCCACAATGTGACTCAGGGAGACTCATTTCTGAAACTGTTGAAATCAGCCTATTCAGGATGATGTGGGCAAAGATTTTTCCGGCAACGGAAAGCAGCCAGATATCTCTGTAGTTCCCGCAGTTGGCTCTTGCACCCTTCTTCTTGTATAGAGCAACTATCACAGCATCACGGAGGTCAGATGGCATTTCTTCCTCTATCCAAATACTGGTCAAGACATTATGAAAAACCTTAAGTGACTCCTCATTAAATGCCTTGTACAGTTCTGCGAGAATTCCATCTTTGCCGGATGCCTTGCCACAACTCATCTGCCTGATGGCCTTTCTAACTTCATCAATAAATGGAGGATCTCCCAGGTCTTCAAGGGTTGGCTTCTGAGGAATCTGTTCCAGTGCTGATTGATCAACTGATGATGAATGATTCAGGAGCTGACAAATATTCTTTCCATCCGTTATTAATGTCAGCCTTACCCCTGAATAACATGGCTCCATCTACAGACAACAAGGGGGCAGAGCCAGACTTAGAAGGACCATAGACTGACTTGATGGAGCTGAAAAACTCCCTTGGGTTGTTTAAGTCAGCATAGTGTTGCACCTCTTCAGCTTTCTTCTCCCACCACTGATCGTACATTTTGCGGATTTCTCGCTGAGCCTGGGCCTGGAAGAACTTAAACCTGTCTCTCTTAGAGATGGAGTCTGGGTCATTCTGCCACTCCACAAATGCCTTGTTTTTGGCAAGCAGGTCCTCAATAGCACTGTTGTTCTCAGGGTGCCTCTCTCGGGACCAAGCACTGACTTCGCTGTCTCCATCCCCATTTCTCTAAACTGGCTCCACTTCTGAATTGGACCTGCAATCAATGGTCCATTGGCAGTCAACTTTTCATCAAGGCTTGACTGGAACTCGCGCAGATGAGAAGGCTGCTGGAATCTGGCAATGTTAAAGGCTGTTTGGATGAGCTTTGGGCAGTGCTGAGCAATGTGTATTTTGAAAATGGTGCGGACAAGCCTATTGTCAGTCCAGCACTCTGCTCCTCGCATGGCTCTGGTGATAAGGACATCCTGAATATCAGGCTGACAAACAATGACAATCTATCATGTGCCACTGTTTCGATCTAGGGTGCATCCAGGTAGTCTTGTATTTGTTTGCCATCCTGAACACTGTTCTTGATGAAAAGGTAATGTTCTGCACATTTGCTCAGCAGCAATAAGCCGTTGCTGTTCATCATGCCCATGCCATGTTTCCCTAGCACTCCCTCCCATCAACTCTGGTCACAGCCAACTCGGGCGTTGAAGTCTCTCAACAAGATCAACTTGTCTTTGGTCAGCACTGAGACTAGAACAGAACTGAAGTCAATATAAAACTGCTCAATTGTCTCCTCTGTGCTGTTCACGGGGGGAATGTATGCACTGATGACTACTGCATACTGCTTGTGACTAAGGGGTAGGCGTAGCTTCATGAGCCTCTCGTTAATACTGACAGGTAGGTCCAAAAGTTGTTTCATCAGACTAGTCTTGACGGCCAGGCCGACTCCATGGATCCTATCCTCATTCTGCGCTTTCCGTTTCCAGAAGAAGGTATAACCACTAGCTAGTTCAGTGAGAAATCCTTCTTCAGCAAGCCTGGTTTCACTCAAGGCAGCGATATCAATACCATAGTGTGTATAGGGGTGTACGGGGTTGCATGGTAGTACCTCTAATTGGGTAGTACCTCTAAAAGAGGGCTTGTCGCACTTTTTTGGGAGTGGCCCATTTTTACTGGCAGCCAGCTCTCACCTGTGGCTCCGCAAAGTTGCTTTGCACGTGGCAACAGCCACACCCCGGGCAACGGCTTTGACAGGCCGGCTAAACTAGGTGAAGGTAGCCGATGGGTCTGAAACCCTCGGTGAGTTAGGGACCTGCTCATCCCAGCATGGGAAGACTGTTTCGATGGATCAGGCGGAGGAAATCCATGATTTAATGGCTGAGAAGGCATTGTAGCAGCGCACTATGGAGTGCGTGGGGCATGTCAGAGCATTTAAGATGACATGGCCATCCAATGCAGCCAAGGTAGTCTCCAGAAGTAATGATTTTTTCCACTGGATTCCAACTTCTGAGGCCGAGAGAGTGGGATTGTCTCTGTGCAAAGGCTTTCCCACTTGGTGGGAAGGCTTGATGACAGCATCGACATAACCTTCAAGCCTAACTAAATATAGCAAGTTTCCAGTCAAACACCTCCATGTGTTAGGCAAGAAGCCCTGTTCAAGAGGGTTTTACCCTCAAAAAAAGATGACAGATTTTTAGGCAAAGAATGCTGTAAGGCAGTGATGGGTAACCGAGGATAGATAGTGGGTAGCATGAATGGCCCTCCATCTTAGTGAGCCACAAGACTGTCATAACCAGGATGTTCTCTCGGGATAGGGTAGTTTTGCTAACTGCGCTTGTGTACCTAGAACCGGAAGGGTGTGCTGTTAGAACCACAGCAGTCCTTTGATTGGATGTGGAAGGAGTACATGGCTCTCAGTCTATATTGTGTGCAATCACCATGCCCCTGACTTTAATGTGCCCTTGTTCTACATGTGTGTCACTCTGGTAAAACCAGTAGGAAAAAAAACTACATGGACAGAAACCAACAGAATCTGGCAACCCCATGCATTGCCAACAGTAAACAAAATGTGTCCTAGGCCACACACATAACCTTGATGGGCTGCATGAAGACCTGGGCCACAGGTTGCCCATCACTGCTGTGGTATCTTCAAGCAGCCACAGAACCACCCACTACAAATATGGATATTTTACTTCGAAAACATCAGACTTCGCATTTTCTATACAATAAATTCTTACACATGCATAAATTACTATTAGTAAGCTATATGTTTCCAGGTTCTCAGTTTAAAATAAAAGGTAATCTGCCATACAACAGAAAAACCACCTGTTAAGTGTGATGTCTGTAGATTTTGGAGCGACTGCAATTTTATGTCAGACAAACATCCAGAAATTCTCTTGTTCATCATGAAACTTCTGCTCCTAGAATGAGACAGTGTGGAATGGAAACACAAGAGAGAAATAGGTCTTTATTTACATTTATTCCAGAAGGGAAATGGAAAACTACAGACATCTGCCTCAAAGATTAGTGAGAATCCCACTTATATTGCACTGACTGGATCAAAACAGCAGTCTCTAGATGAACCAGTAGTGATTGTGGTAGTTCCCTCTAAGGGGTGCACCTGCATAGGCGCACACCAACAATTTGACTCAGCTGCTCCAAGGAAGGGCTGAATAGTGGGCAGCTGCCTTGTCCAGAAGCAGCTGGGTAGTCACAATGTGGCCCTAGCTCTGGCCTTAGCTACAGCCCTTCCGCAGGACTGGAGCTTCAGCCAGGATGGGCTGCATGGCAGTCATGGGAGCTGAAGCCTGGGCCACAGTACTAAAAATAACACCACAGCCAGTCTCTAGTCCCGGTACATGTGGCAGTCACCCGCCCTGTGACCCCTCCCCGGGAACAGCTGGGGCTGCGTGGCAGTTTGAGGCCAGGACCATGGTCCTAAAAATATCACCATGGCCCTGGTTCCAGTCCTGGTACACAGGACGTGGCCACACACAGCTGCTGTGTGCGCCAGAACTGGAGCCAAGACCATGGTGCTATTCTTAGTACAGCAGCCCTGGCCCCAGCCCCAGCTGTTCCAAGGTGGGGCTGCATTGCAGGAGGCTGCTGCATGTACTAGGCCTGGGATGTGGTATGAAAAATAGCATCACGGCCCTGGCTCCAACCCCAGCACAGGGGGCAGCCGCCTGCCATGTGGCCGCCCCACAGCAGGAGCAGAGGTTAGGAAGGCAGAAGGTAAGAGAAGGGGCAGGGAGAGAACTAAGGGTGAGGAGAAGGGGCTAGGGCAGAAGAAAGGGGAAGGCACTTAGGGGCAGGACAGTGGAGAGACAAATGCCAGGGGGCCAAGAGGCAGCAATGAGAGGAAAGGGCAAGGGGCGGGTAAGGTGTCAGTGGGAGTAGGGAGGGAATAGGGTGATGCTGGGAGAGGAAAGGGGGCAATGGGAGCAAGAGGAAGGAAGAAAAGAGGGGAGGAGTGGGTGCTGGGAGAAGAGGGATTGAACGGAGCTGTGGGCATGAGGAAGGCAGGGGATGGAGCAAGTCATGTGTGAGGGTGCAGAGGGGTGAGGAAAACTGGGACAGAGGGTGGTGAGGGGGCGGGCACCAGGGAGGAAGAGGGCAAGGAGGGCAGGTGTTGGGAGGGCAGGCAAAGTCAGGGAAGAGGGAGGCACCAGGAAGGTACAGGGGGTAAGGGAAGGTGCAGATGTCAAGGGATTGTGGGGGTGAAGCAGAAGGGCAGACACTTATGAGTGTCAAGAGGAGGGTTAGGGCAGAGGAGAGTGGCAGGGCAGGTAGGTAGAGGGAGGTGTTAGAGGAGAGAGGATGGAGATGGCAGCTACGGATCATCAGAGTGGGGCTAAAGGAGGGGGGAAGAAAAGGTGGGTGCAGGGGTCAGAGAGAATGGGGAGGGAGGCATGTCCCAGGAGGGCTAAGGGGACTAAGAAGGGCAGGTGCCAGGACAACAGAGGAAGGTGAAGGGTGGGGTGGCAGCAGCATGCTCCACAGGAGCAGATGGGGGGAGAGCAAGGTTGGAGACATGGCAGCAGAGAGGAAAAGGGAGAGATTTAAAATGCTTATTAACTGGTGCCACGGTGGCACACGTCCAAACAAGCGCACGTGACTTCAATAGTGGTGCACAAGACAAAACTCACTCCGCTCATGGATGGAAAAGGGGCAGGGAGG